TTCTCAACAGGGGCTTTTGTTCTGTTTAAATGTAATTCAGGAGAGTCAAATACAGCCAGGTGCTGTCTGCTTGAACAAACAAAAAAGTCAAACACTCTAATATTTTGCTGAACTGACTTTAGCTTTGCACTTCAGAATCAGAATCAGAAAGAGCTTTATTGCCAAGTATGTTTGCACATACAAGGAATTTGTTATAGTGTCACAAGCTTCCAGTACACGGAGACAACAACAACAAACAGATAATAAAAATGAGATGTGAATAAAATACACATGCATAAATATAAACCACAAAAAAAAGAATAAATTGTATGTACAGGTGTGCTATAGATGGAAAAGGAATAGAATAAAATAAAATAAGTTGTAGGGATGTACTAGGGTTTAGGGTGATAAATCGGGGAAGTCGTGGCCTAATGGTTAGAGAGTCGGACTCGTAACCCAAATGTTGCGAGTTCGAGTCTCGTACCGGCAGGAATTGTAGGTGGGGGGAGTGAATGTACAACGCTCTCTCCCACCTTCAGTACCATGACTGAGATGCCCTTGAGCAAGGCACCGAACCCCCAACTGCTCCCCGGGCGCCGCAGCATAAATGGCTGCCCACTGCTCCAGGTGTGTGTGTGTTCACTGCTGTGTGTGTGCACTTAGTAACCATACTTGGCCACATGTCACATCACTCACTCACTCAAATAAGTATAAGGTTATTGCACATACTGTACTTTAATTGCACAATGGGAGAACATTAACTGTTCATGAGGTAGATTGCCTGGGGAAAGAAACTGTTCTTGTGTCTGGCTGTCCTGGTATTTGGTGCTCTGTAACGCCGACCAGATGGCAAAAGTTAAAAAAGGAGATGGCTTGGATGTGATGGATCCAGAGTGATTTTCTGAGCCCTTTTCCTCACTCTGGATGTATACAGTTCTTGGAGGGTAGGCAGGGGGGCACCAATAATCCTTTCAGCAGTTCAAACCGTTCTCTGTAGTCTTCTGATGTCTGATTTTGTAGCTGAACCAAACCAGACAGTTATTGAAGTGCACAGAACAGACTCGATGACGGCTGAGTAGAACTCCTGACGAAGATGACGAAGTTTTGCTGTAAACCATGGCTTATCATTACTGAATGTTAAATGAGTCCTGGTAGAGATGCACGTCTTCACAGAAACTGATAAATGATGTTACAGATTCCGTGAGCTCGTCCAGATCGTTGGTGGCTGCTTCAAAAACACTCCAATCAGTGCAGTCGAAACAGGCTTGCAATGCCTGCTCTGTTTCGTTGGTCCACCTCTTTACAGACTTTACTACAGGTTTAGCAGATTTAAGTTTATGCCTGTAGGTCAGTATAAGATGAACCAGGCAGTGGTCAGAGAGTCCTACAGCTGCTCTGGGGACCGAGCGATATGCATCCTTTATTGTGGAGTAACAATGGTCCAGTATACTACTGTGGTCCAGTATATTACTCTCTCTGGTGGGACATGTAACATGCTGTCTGTATTTTGGCAGTTCTCAGGAAAGATTTGCTTTATTAAAGTCCCTGAGAATGATTAAAACAGAGTCTGGGTGTTGATGTTCTGTCTCTGTGATCTGATCAGCGAGTTTCTGTAAAGCTGAGCTCACGTGTGCTTACGGAGGAATGTAAATACTCACGAGAATGAACGAGTGAAACTCCCGCGGCGAATAGAACGGCTTACAGTTAATGAAAAGCGCTTCTAGATCGGAACAGCACATCTTCTTTAACGCTGTAACATCTGTACACCACCTTTCGTTGATGTAAAA